GTCTGTGTTTGTTCCTTTCTACTACAGGAGGAAGCTTTGTGATGATGGCTGAGCAAGGCAATGATCAATGAGTACAGCAGAATGTCGTTAGGAGTAATTTTATTGCTATGTTCTTTTAGTGGAATAGTAGTGTTTGGTTTTTCCTCTGGTCTTTGGGCTATCTAGTCTTAGGTTATTGGTCACCCAAGCTGTGTTGGGTATGGGTTTCATCTCGTGGAGTGGGCCTTAAGCCAAATCAGATATTGGTTGGTTACTCCCACAAGCTTTACCCACCATTGCATTAGCATGTCTTGTGGGTAAGACAATGTTGTATGTAGATCAAAGGGTTTGTAAGCTGGGTTGTTGTTTTTTTTCTCCTTTGGTAGAGTACTTTCCTGTACCAAAGACAATGGCATATATAGGTAGTGTCTATGTAGGCACCAACTAGACTTCTCCACATTTAGTGAGCTCTGTAGGTGTCTTCAGCAATAGGGACTTGCCACCAGTTTATGGATAGCAACCTATAGTGTTGGCAACAAACTGATTTTTTTGTTTGTTTGTTTTTGTTGTTGTTGTTTTTCCTGTAGGACCCCTATGGCCAGCAACTCAACTTAAATGTAATTTATTTCTGGATTCCTGGAAGCTTCATTTGGTGACAAGAGCTGTTCAGTTTGGGGTTCTGTTTCCCCCTTTACTTGGTAGTTTAATTTAGATTGTCTTCATATATTTATATGTTTTAGGAAGCTTCTACTGTATTAGGTTTCCGTACTACCCCTCAAAAGGCCCTTAATTTTAGCTCCTCCTCCTTATGTTCCTCCCTTGTCATTCTCCCTTTCCCCCCTCCCCACTTGATCCCCCTGTTCCAGTTGTTCTCCACCCCATCCCACCTACAGCCATCTATTCTGTTTACCTTTCCTAGAGAGATTTATCTGTCCCCTCCTAGTCCCTTACTCTGTACCTAACCTTTGTGACTCTAGATTATACCTTGGTTATTATTGACTTAACAGCTAATATCCACATATAAGAGAATACATACATTTTTGTCTATCTTGAGTTACCTTACTCAAGATGTTTTCTAGTTCCACCCATATACCTGGGAATTTTACAATTTCATTTAAAAAAAAACAGATGAGTAATAGTCCATATTGTAAATGTACCATATTTTCTCACCACTGATCTGTTGAGGATATCTAGGTTGTTTCAATTTCTGGCTATTATGAATAGAACAGCAGTGAACATGGTTGAGCAACTGTCTCTTTGGTAGGATGATGTCTCCTTTGGGTGTATGCCCAAGAATAATATAGCTGAATCTTAAGGTAGATCGATTCCCATCTTCCTGAGGAACTGCCACATTGATTTCCATAGTGGCTGTATAAATTTGCAGTCTCACCAGCATGGAGGAGTTTTCCCCTTACTCCACATCCTTGCCAGCATGAGTTGTTATTTGTTTTATTGTCATAACCATTGTGACAGGTGTAAGATGAAATCTAAATCAAGAAGACCTTTTTTTTAAAAAAAAAATCCTGGAGATTGGATAGAACAGAGAACAAAACTGAGACATAAAATTTAGGATATAATATAATCTAGTATAGATATGAGAAGAGGTCATGAATCATACAAAGTTATGGCAATGTCAGTGGAAAAGGAGCAACTAGAGCAGTGGTTTTCAACCTCTGGGTCGTGACCCCTTTGGGAGGGTTGATGACTCTTTCACGGGGTTGCATAACATACTTACTTTGTGATTCATTATATAGCAAAACTACAGTTATGAAGTAGCAATGGAAATCTTATGGTTATGGTCATCACAACAAGAAGCACTGTATTAAAGGGTCTCAGTATTACAGGAAGGTTGGGAACCACTGGACTAGCTAGAGAAAGTAGACTGACATAGTTTGATGTGATTGCATTTGGAAAGTAGTGGGTAGTTGGATGAGTCATTAAACCATCTAGATATCTACCAAGTCTCTTGAGAGGCATTACAAAAATAAAGCCTCGTAGTATAGTTTTTAAGACATGGTGCCCTTTCTATGTGAGAATGTTCAAACAGTTATGTGGTTGCACAGTCTGTCCAGTATTGCAAGGAGATACTTCCATGAATAGTCCATAGCTTCTGTGAGTTAGAAGGTGATATTCAAATTACTACTGGAAATGCCTAGGTCAATTTTGAAAAGTAAAATTAAGTTATATTTTCATTATAGAATATTCAGCTCAAGAATTATTAACAGAAAGCTACAGAGAAAGATTTTAATTTTTAAATTTTTTTTTCATTTTACATACCAACCACAGTTGCCCCTCCTCCCCTTCCCACACCCACCCCCTACCTCCTCCTGAACCCATCCCCCATCTACTCCTCTGAAAGGGTAAGGCTCCCCCATGGGGAGTCAACAAAGCCTGGCACATTAAGTTGAGGCAGGACTAAGCCCCTCCCCACTGCTGAACAAGGCATCCCACCATAGGGATGGGCTCCAAAAAGCCAACTCATGCACCAGGGACAGATTTTAATTTTTACATGGTTAGATTTTCACTAAAGAAACCCCAAAATAACTTGTGAAACATTTAACGTATAAATTAAATATTTTATTATTCTAATTTATATGAGTGGTTTGCCTGCATGTATATCTCTGTACCACGTGTGTGCCTGGTGCTAGAAGAGGCCCAAAGAGGGGGTCAGATTCCCTGGAACTGCAGCTGTTGAGCACAGTGTTGGTGTGTGTGCTGGAAATCAAACCCAGGTCCTGTGGGAAAACAACCACCACCTAGTGGTGACGCATTTGCAAGTCTAGTTCCAGGGGATCTGATGAGGACTCCAGGCATGATGCATGTGGCATACATACACAAAGGCAAACACTTACATAGAAAAGAAATAATTTTTATTATATATATTTCCTATGTAAGTGTGCTTCATGCCTTCCAGGTGCCCGTGAAAGACTGAACAGGGCACTGGAACTCCTAGAACTGAGATTACAGACAGTTGTAAGCTGCCATGTGGTTCCAGGAACTGAACCTACTCTGCTCCTAAGTGCTGAGTCAGTTTTCCGTTCCTATAAAATGTAATCCCTGTAGGAACTAGATTGCTTAAGAATGCTTCCACTGTTATTTCTTTAGTTTTCATTTTTCCAGTGTTAGGGATTGAACTCAGGGCTTTGCTGATTTCCGGCAGTTGTTGTACTACCTAACTATAGCTCCCCACGCAGTCCAGACTGACTTAGAGTCGATCTGTGCCTTTGCCTCTTTACTACTTGCATTCCGTGTGGTTTACTATACTTGGCTTTAGATTGCTTAGTTTTTGGTTATTGTAATCCATGGGACCTGTTTATTAGTGCTAATACTAATAACTACTGCTTATTAAGTACTTTTCATGTGCTCTGGCTAAGCTCTTAATGTTAATTTTCTCATTCTTTACAGTAACCATAGTGATTAAGTATTTTCTTTATGAGGAAGCAAAGTTGAGAGATGTCATCAGTTTAGAAAAGGCTGTGTGCATTATGCAGTAAACAATGTAGCTGAAGTTAAGGAAGATTGAGTAGAGAGTCTTCTTATAACATTGTTTTAGAATTACTTTTAAACTTATTTTCTTTTGTTTATTCTAATGTAATTTGAGTCTGGCTTAGTTTTGAATTTAAACTAGTATAGCTGGGCATATTCTTATATTTGGTAACTAAATTTTGTTGACTGATTATTAATGTCATCTTTCTGTCGAGAATTAAAGGCTGGAGTGTAGCTCAGTTGATAGAATGTCTGTCTAGGGTATGTGAAGTCCTGGGCTTGATGCTACATGCCTCTAATTCTACTACCGGGATATGGAGGCAGGAGGATCAGAAGTTCCAGGTCCTTCTAAGGAGTTTGATATACGTACTCTATGATTTATGTACCCTATGATAGATCTACTCTATCTAAACAAACATCTTTTTTTAAAAAAACTGTCAGATAGAATCCAAATCGAAAATGTTTCATGCACTTTTACTGTTTAGACCAATGAACATATGATTTCTTTAGTTTCAACCCAGTAATTTAGGCTTGTGACAGTTTACTGTGATGTACAGAATTAAAAAGTCACAGAGGGTCTCTTTATTTGCTCTCTGATGCTAAGGTGTGAGAGGGACTGTTTATGTCGCTTAGGTCATCTAGTAGATCATGAAACAGTCTGTGTAGCCAGTCAGTAAACAGCCGTAAGGGCCATGTGCTCCTTTTGTGCCTTTTCCCAACTGTTGATAATATGTAAACAAAAACTACAAACTCAGCGGCAGCTTCAATCTGGCACATTGGACCAATCTCTGCTGTAGAGAATTTTGTACTAAGGTTATGTATGACAGAACATTATATACACAAGAGAAGTTTTTCTTCTCTGAATATATTGCATAAATCAGTGTCCCAAGAAGGTGACCATAGTGTGAAGGAGTAGGTACCTAAGTAGTTGAAGCATACTTTTTAGATAGTGTTCTTATGACTACTTAAATTATTTTATTATTCCAGAATATACATGTATATATTTCCTTATTAAAATTATTATTTTTAGTCTTGAAAAACAATCTACTGTTTGAAATTTTCACCAATTCTGATGTTTTCTTTTTCGCATCACTGTTAGAAGGCTTGTTATAAAAAGATGTGACACGTAACTGGCTGGTGACTTTATTACATTGAATTTGTCAGTAGATAAATCAAGTTGTTTTTTTATTGTTTTGTTTTTCAAGACAGAATTTATCTTGTGTGTATGTAACCTTGGCTGTCCTGGAACTCACTGTGTAGATCAGGCTGGCCTTGAACTCAAGAGATCAGCATGTTTCTGCCCCCTAAGTGCTGGGATTAAAGTGTGCGCCACCGCCGCCTGGCTAGTTTGGTTGTATAAATTTGTACAATTGGATTAGGGGTTCATAGAGTTCTCTAGTTTGTATGTTCTGTAGAATTCACATTATAAATGCTTAGAAACAGTGCCTGTTAGTGCTAAAAAATTTCAGTAAACGTCATTTATGGTTGTGGCTAATATATTAGACATTAAGTCTAGAATATATTATTATTCTCAGAGATTCGTCAGCGAACTGCAGCTCAGAGAAACCTTTCCCCAGCACCATCGAGCTCTAATCAGGGCCCTCCTCCACAAGTTCCAGTCACTCCTGGGCCTTCAAAGGATGCATCGGCTCCAGGGGGACCTCCAGGGGGACCTCCGGAAAGGACTGCTGCTCCAGCCTTACCCAGGCGCCTTGGATCCCCTGCTACTTCAGTGCCTGGAATGGGTAAACACAGCACTTAATGTTATTTACAGTTTATATTGTTTTCTCTGGTTACCAATAAAATGGGCCATTTTCAGACAGTATGGAAATGGCATTTCATTTGGAAATAGCAGAGCAGTTATCTGATTAAGCAGGAGTTCCATATTCAATTAGCTATAACTCTTTACAGCTGGCACCTTGTGATACCAAACCTATTTCTTGAGCTCATTTAACTGTTATGGCTTCTTTGTTTAAATGGCAATAAAACTTTGTAGCGTTCTGTAGTCTACAGTGTAGCATTATCTTTTTATATTCAATTCTTAGAATGGCTCTAGATTTATATATGGTTGGGATAGAGGAGAACACTTAAGCAAGTACTTATATTCTTTGCTAATTCCTCATATAGACACTAAAACATGACAATTACCATATTTCAGGAAAAATATTCAAGCATTGTAGTGCCTGATATACTTTTGTAAATATGAGCTAGTAGATTTTTTTCTCCTAAGTCATGGAACTATAGTATTTTCTGATAGGCTTCTTTTAAGTTCTATTAAGAGTGTGATTGATCTGTGGATTTTATCCAGTGCTGTAACATATGGCCAGCCACTCTTTATTTTTTGAAGTGTGATTAGGGCAAGGAAATCTATTCATTGCTTTAGCAGATGACATGGTTTGTGTAGATTTCCATGTCAGATTATTAAATAAGAGTAAACTATTTTATTTATGGTATTTAATTCTAATTGAAGTACTTTAGCACTTTATGACTAGTTGCTACTTTCTAGAGTAATGATTTTGAGAGTAGACACTACTTTAATCAGTTGGGTATTTAGAGCATTTATTAAATAGAAAAACCCCAGTGTTATTTATGGTAGATTTTTTGCTTGCATTCCTATAAAAATGCAGCTAAGGTTTTAGAAGACTAGGAAACTATTGATTTACAAGGTAAGAGAACTGACTTTGAATGGAATGCATAAAAATCTTAGTATTTAAAATAATTTTAATACCTTACAATTTTATGTGTAATGATAAAATAGTTATATATTTGTGAAATTGAGACAGCTTAATGGGCTGAAACAGTTCATTTTTTTTTTTTAGTTGTTTTGTAGGTGATTTGAGATACCCATAATTTGTAAATTCAAATTTTGTTTGTTTAAGAACTGAAGACTCGGGTAAGAGTCTTTGACTCGCAGGCAACTTAGCCACGTATATAGTTGTAAGGACTATACTGTCTAGTATAGGGCTATACAGCAACTAGCTGAAGTTCCATGTGCATGTAAATAAAACATGTTTTGCATACGTTTCTAATTAGCTTCTGTGGAAATACTGTTTATATTGTACATTGCCAAAAATGTGAATGAGTTAAACAATTTATTATAGAGAAAATTAGTAATTCATTTTTCTATTCCAACATGTTTGTGAGAGAATCAATTTAATGTATATTACCGCAGTGCTCCCATATGTTTGAAAATTAATAAGCAGCAGGTACTTGATAATTTGCCAAACTGTGTAAAAATGCCCAGTATTCCTACAATAATTGCTTTTGATGTTTATTATTTACTGTTCCCCATGACATCATGAGTATTAAGATGCATATTTTTAAAGTTGCCAAGTTATTTAATCAAGTTATTACCAAGTTGCAGGAAGCCTAAGATACTTGAATGAAATCTTTTGTTTTATGTATCCAGATTGCTTTGTGGACATGTTCACTTTAAATATGTAAAAGCCACCTAAATTGATATAAATGCTTTCACAATCTAATTTGAAAACTGGGAATGTAGCTCAGTGGTAGAATGTTTGCCTAAGGTACTGTATTAGCTACACATATATTTTTATGTTTCCTTTTTCTTTTTAGTTCAGCTAAATATTTTCTAATTTCTGTTTTGACTTTGCTTTGCATCCTGAATTAGTTAGATAGTTTTAAATGCTTGGTGAGCTTTAAGATGTTTTCTGCTGCTGATTCTAATTCTTTTGTAGTCAGGAAATATACTGTGTGCTGTTTGGATCTGATTAAATGTATTGAGGCTTGTTTAATGACCCATTATGCCATGTCTTGGTATCTGCTTTCTTTCTGTTTGAAAAACAAAACAAAACAAACATGTATTTGTTCTCTAGGGTAGAGCAGTTCTAAAAGTCCATTAGATAAAGCTGGTGATAGTGAGTGTTCAAGTCTTTTTTCCCCCTGATTTTTTGTAGATTTATTTATTTTTAATCAATTATTGGTAACAAAATGTTAAAACCTTTAATCATAATTTTTATTTGTCTATCTTTTCTTGAATTTCTGTTAGTTTTTGTCTTATGGGTTTGACGTTCTGTTATGATGCACTTGGATGTTTGGCATGGTTGTACTTCAAGGAAAAGCTGTATGTCATTATTCATTTGTGGGTGTGTGTGCGCATGAGTGTGTGCATGGTTGTGCGCATGGGCATGGAAGTCAGAAGACAACTTGCGGGGTTAGGGTCTCTCCACTGCGTGGACTCCAGAGACTGAACTCACGCCCTCAGGCTTGGTGGTAGCACCTTTACCCACTGAGCCATCTTGCTGGTCCCTAGTTCTTGATAAGTTGATGCCTTTGTCCTTGTGACCTTTATAGTCATTTAAAGTTTCTTATGCTTAGTGTTAGCATATTTTTGTATTTTACTTAAAATTTATTTATTTTTCTAGTTTTTTTTTTTTTTTTAAAGCATGTTCGTAGCATATATTGAAGAGTTGCTTCTTTGTCCCGTCTGAGCCTGTTTCATCATGCGGTGCTGACCATGGTGCCGTGACTGTGTTTGGATTTGAGCTTAAACGTTTTGTGGGACGTGAGCTCCTTTGTCCCATGCGTGTGCTGTCCTTTTCTCCATTTGCTCTTTCCCTTTGAACTGAAATTTTTGTGACTACATTTAATCTTTTTTCACTGCCATATTGTTTGTAACACTTTTGACATGTGATTTTAATGGTTGTGCTGATATTTAGTAGATACCTCTAATCACAGTTGTTCATGTGATGTGATACCATCTCACATATAGTTTTAAAGATCTGACAAAAATACAGTTAACAATTTCCCTCTTTTGGCTCTTGTGTTATTTATTTTAATTCTTTTCCTTTTATCTTACATTTTACTTCTATACATATTATAAGTCTCACAATTATTTTTTTATTTAATCAGTTATGCAGTCTCACTATGTAGTCTTGGCTGGTTCACAGCTAAGCCCAGCCTTCTGTGTTTGTGAGCCTAGTACCCATGGAGAACAGAAGAAGTGTCAGATGTTAATAGGACTGGAGTTACAGATGGTCGTGAGCCTCCACTGGGTGCTGGCAAACAAGTCCAGTTCCTCTGCAAGAACAGCCAGGGCTGTGCCGCCCCTGAAGCTTAGATCTACTTTTTGGTTTTGTTTGTTTGTTTTTATTTTTGTTTTTTTATACCTGTTGTCACTTCCTTTGGCTTTAAGGATTTTTAAAAATTATTCTTGTAATGTAGTTTGGCCAATGAATGATAAATTCTTTATTTTAAACATTTGGAAAAAGATCTCATTTTGCCTTATTTTTGTTTAAAAAACATATTTATGCTGGATACAGATTCTAGTCTGACAGCTTTCATTTTCAGAATGTTAAAGATAAGTTTTGTTTTAGCCTGCATCTGATTAAGTCTTCTGTCGCCTTTTTCTCTATAATGTACCCCTTTCGGCCTATTATTAAGCAGTTTGTGTGTACAAAATAGTGTGTCTTATGTTTGGGATTTGTTAAGATTCTTTTATCTGTGTCTTTACAACTCAAATTTGGAAAAAGTTATATACTATTTCTTTAATTATGTATACCTTTTTCGTTTCTCTACAGAACTGTTCATTGTTATATAACTTACTGATCCCCCCCCCCCCCCGCTCCCTTAATTTTTGGTCTATTTTGTTACATTTTATATGGTTTTTATTGCCATGTCTTCAACTACACCAATACCTTTTTTATAATGTCTAAATGTCTGTTTATTTCATCTGTGTGTTTTTTCATCCTACACATTGTAGACTTCTGTGAAGTTTAGTGTTAATACTTGTAATTTGTCTCATGTCTTTTTAGCACGCCTAGATTCTCAAACACGTGGAAGTGTTTTAGTATTTTTCCCTACTAATTCAGTCACATCTGAAACAATTTTTTTTCACTGTACATTGTACTTTTGTTTGTTTGTTTGGCTAGTACTTTTTGAATGCCAGAAAAGGCAGATTTTATATTACTGGGTGTGTTTCTTCTTCTTCCTCCTCCCCACCTCCCTTTCCCTCCCTCCCTCCCTCCCTCCCTCCCTCCCTCCCTTCTTCCCTCCCTTCCTTTTTTGGAAACAGGCAGTCATTCTGATTGTGTATGAATACTGTTTTCTTTAATCTTTTGGAGATTTTTCTACTCTGTTTTTTAGATACATGGGCTGGTCAGTAATCTGCTGAGTGTTTTGAGAGGGCCTCTGTAGATGCTAAGTGTAACAGGCTTTCTATTGGGCCACCAACAGCTCCCAAATCATAACATGGAGACTTGCTGTTATGAATGCTCAGTCTTAGTTTAGGCTTGTTTTTGGCTAGCTTTTTAAATTGAAATTAACATGTTTCCTCTTCTACATTTTGTTTCAGGCTTTTTACCTTTCCTTCATTCTTTATGTCCTCCTTTTCCTGCTTTCTCCAGTGGCTGGTGGCTGCCTGGTCCTAATTGTCTCCCTCACTCTCTTCTCTCTGGAGCCTAGATTCTTCCGCCTGCTTTTCAGCTTTTAATTAGACCAACCAGGTGCCTTAGGCAGGCAAAGTAAAACAACAGCACATGTTGATATAATTAAACAAATGCAACATAAACAAATGTAAGACAGCTTTACATAGTTACAGTGATACTCCACAACACTTAAGTGCTTTTCTTTCTTCGTGTTGCCCCTTCTCTGCATCTGTTTCCCCAGAGCCCCAGGGCCGTCTTATCCACCCTGGTGACAACTGTGTTTACCTCCTACCTCTGTTTAGAAACTGACTGTAAGCAAAAGCTGGGGCGTTGCAGGGTTTGTCTTTTTAGTTTTCTAAGGGAAATTTAACATATATTGTTTGATGCACATGTTGTTGAGTTTTAATACACTTCCCATATTTCTCACAGTCTTTGGGGAAGGTAACCCTGATGTCTTACTCTGAGTTCAAAATGGAAGTCTAAATTACTATCATAGACTTTTTAGTAGATTTTAATAGTATAGTTTATTAAACATTTCATGCTGTATAGAGATTTATAAGAGTTAGTATTTTGTTTTGTTAAAATCTTTCAACAAATGTTAAATATTCTAATACAACTGAATCACTTTGGTAGTTGAATTAAATATTGTATATGTATTGTATACACACAAATTTCTTCTGATTTTTATTTCTTTGCTAGGCCTTCATCCTCCAGGTCCACCCTTAGCAAGACCCATTCTCCCCCGAGAACGAGGTGCTCTGGATAGAATTGTTGAATATTTAGTTGGTGATGGTCCACAGAACAGGTAATGTTTGCTGCACTAGTAGATAAAGGAACATAAAAAAAAATTACTGGCCAGTATATGTGTATATTTGTGATATTTTGTGGCTTGTAGTTGTTATCATTTTAGAGAAATTGAATTATTTTTGTTCCAATTGTTAAAACTGAAGAGAGGAAAAATAGTACAAACCTGGCAGGTTAATGAGAAATAGAATTTTTTATATGTATCACTGTTGGTGGTGGTGATGGTAATACTTCCAATAGTAGTAAAAAATGTGCATTATTTAGCTCTTACTATTTTTCAAACGTTTTTCAGATTATTGTATTACTTGGTCCTTACCATAAATCCAGGAAGGTAGTTATGAGTGTGCAAAGCATTTGTCATTGTGTAGGCTTAAAAAAAAACTCTACTTTCAAAAAAAAACTTCTCTAGTTAGTATCAGTTTCATAAAGGGAGCATAGTTTAATGCTAATATAAGTTGTATGTTATTCAAAACAGAATGATCTGATTAAGCCAACCATCTGATTAGAGACCAGAAAATGAGAATGAGGTTTAAGTATAACTGATAATGAGAAAGGTACAGGAACCACATCATAAAAAAAGTTACTGTTGGTCCTAATTATATAGAATTGAATGTATTTATTTTCTGTAAGGGTTTTCAGTGTTTGTGCTTTATCTTATTTTTTATAATATTTATTGTGACTCTCTAAGAAAGTTCCATCATTTCCAGCCTTAATAAAACACAATTTGGAAGTTTTCATCTCCAGTAATAAATCATTGAGAAATTTAAGTGTTTTATTGCTAAACTTTAAAAAAAAGATTTTTTTTATTAATTTTTAAGTTGTCTGTATGTGTGTCTGTGTATATTAATGTAGGTACACACAAGTCAGAAACATGACTCCCTGGAGTTGGAGTTACAGATGGTTGTGAGTTGCCTGATGTAGGTGCTGGGAATCAAATTCCGGTCCTCTGGAAGAGAAGTATATGCTATGATCTTAACTGCTGAGCCATTTCTCAAGCCCTCAGTTTCTAAACTTCTTTCTGTTAACTTAGGATATATTCAGTTGTTCCTTAGTTTATTTTTAATGTCTTGTATATATAGATGCCCATACATACACATCTATTTACATGTGCACATATACATTCAAATGCTTTATGTCCTGTGTATTTTATTAGGTGCTGGGGAAAGAGCTCAGGGTCTTGCACATGCTCAGCAAGCATCCTATCACCGAGCTATACTCCCAACTCAAATCGTATTTCAAACTGGTTGAAATTTGGGTTTTGGTTAGCTTCAGCTTTTGCTTAAGGAGTGTTGCTAATGATTTGCTGACATTCCTTTATTATGGCAGAGTCATCTGTAACTGACATGAGTCACAATGACTAAGTGGCCTCTCTGGTGAACTTCATCTGAGTGTAACCAGTGTGTTATTTCCCTGTGGTGTAGGTACGCTCTCATATGTCAGCAGTGTTTTTCTCACAATGGCATGGCTTTGAAAGAAGAATTCGAATACATTGGTAAGGATTTTTGGATAGTTAGGTTTAAATATTTTACTCTTAAATGTATCATTCTCATCTACTTCCATGTAATATTTTATTTTAGGTACTGCCTGTACATATTGACCAGATACATTGTCTCCTTATTTAATACTAAAAACAAAGGAGAAAAACTAATGCAATTCCTTTTTAGAATGCACAGCCTCTAGGCCAGCTGTTCTCAGATATTCTGCTACCCAGACTCATCTACAGGGAGTCCGATTTAATTACTGGGGGTCGGAGCTAAGCATTAGCGTTGACTTTTAAGATCACCAGTTATTTTCATATGCAGCCATTATTAAATGCTCACATGATAAGTTATGCTTTAGAAATTTAACATACTACATCTTCTTAGACAAGATTCTGGGTCTTAAAATATGTAATTATTCTATTGACTAGAAATCCACGTTCAGTCAAGTATTTAAATAATTATGTAGTTTTGCTATTAAACTGTTATTTAACTTGTTACACATTTAAGATTAATATTTGAATTCTCATAGTAATCATGTAGTATGCATTAAAATTAATGTTGATTAGCACAGCTATTAATGATAGTAAGGTAGAAATTCAGAGGTTATACATTTTAACTTGAGTCTGATTATTTATAAAAATAATCTTGTGAATTATCTGATTAGTTCTTGAAATTTGTTTTTTCTTTCTTCATTTTTAAAAACTTCTATGTAGCTTTTCGCTGTGCCTACTGTTTTTTCTTGAATCCTGCAAGAAAAACCAGACCTCAAGCTCCGCGACTTCCAGAGTTTAGTTTTGAAAAGAGGCAGGCGGTGGAAAACTCAAGCTCAGCTGGCCCCATGCCATCAGAAAGTGCACCCTCAACACAGAGCCAGCGCAGTGAAGGTAGGACCGTGCTAGGTAAAGTGTTTGTCTGGTAGCGTGTATAGCCTGATAATAAGAGCACAACACTTCTAGATGATGGTGGTTAATTTACCAAGTTCTTCAGCATGCATATGTCAGCTGTTGCACTGATGGCTTCTGTGATTGAGATGATGTGTTTCAGTTTTCCAATGCGGATCATGTTGTGATCGCAGCACTTAGCACCAGCCGGCTAAGCATTGTTTAGAGACTCGACTAGGGATGCTCTCATGGAATCCCATTGATGTGTCACAATGAAGCACTGAAATTAAGAAACAACTGTTCTAAGGGCAGAATATTTAGAATATATGTGGGTGGAATAGGTGTGCGGCTACCATTCAGATGGTAGAGATGATTGGAAATCAGGAATCTTAGGATTGGAAAGTCATCCTTGCACGTTTTGGACAACTTGGTTAATATTAATAGCACTTTTTCATTTGGACAGTTTATTAGAAGTCCATGAACTTAGCATCATCTGTGATAAAGGAGTCACTTTGTTGTATAGCAACAAGATTTACTAGAACTCGTGTTTTAGAATTATTCTTGCAAGTCTATCGTAGGAACTCTGAAGGTCGTTCCCTGGGAACTTGAGCAGTTGAAGTAGAAAACTACCAGCGTTTCTTGTTAGTAGTGTTCACTCACTTCCTGTCACTCATTTCTAAATTAGGAACATGGCTAAAATTATGAAACAGACCATAAGATTTTGTTACTATTGCCTAGTGTTTAAATACATCCTGGAAGCTCATAAATTAAGTAACAATTATCATTCATATACATTTGATTTATTTTTCATAAAAGCATTAGAATTGCTTTAGCTGGGTTATATGAAGCAGTGAATATTTTAGATATCAGAAAGTTAGTATGAGATTCAAGATTTTTTTTTTTAACTTTGAGGAATGAACCTGAAATATGTGTGGAATTTGGCTTGGCGTTTGGCTTACTAACAAGTATCAAAGCGAACATAAATACAGACAGCTGTGACTGAGCCTGTGTACTTCCAACGCTGAGTGAATGCATCTTCGTCTCCAAGTCTGCAGCATCAACTCCAAACACAGTGTCAACCTTTTTCTTTTGCTTAAGTCATGCTCTGAGCTGCATGCTGACACATGCAAACCATCTGCCTTGGCATTGTGACCTCTTGGAACTGAGAATAAAGGATTTTATACTGAAGATGCCTAGAGGAAAGACTGAAGTCCCTTCATGAGTAACCATGCTTATGAAAGCTAAAGTGAATGCTTGAAAGCCAATAGTATTTTTGTTTGATTTTCTTTTTAAAGAGGAAAAGGAAAAAAATACAACAAAATATAAATCTTGATAATGGGTCCTATTCTTTATTTCTTCTGCTAAGGTCAAGCTGGATAGTTAGCAAACAACACAGCCATACTTTTCCTTCTCATCTAATCTAGGAGGAACAGTCCCTCAGATGTCCCATTTTGTATCTGAAATCTCCGGAATGAAGTCTAACTGGCTCAAAGTGAACCCCAGTAAGGTAATGTTAATAGGCGAAGACTAAACTTGAGGCAGGGTCTGATGACTCCTTAGTACTAAGAGCTGAAGCAGTAATTCCATCTTGTAAAGGGCGTTTTTTAGAGTAGTAACTTTTCTTACTTCTCTTTGGATTCATCAGAGTGGCCGGCCACCTTTTTTCTTGTTGTTTCTTCAGAAGACGAAAACTTCTCCAAGACTCCTATTACTGCACGATGACATAGTTATGCTGGATCCTATAGCAAATGATGCCAAATATTTCTGATGAGCAAAGAGAGCTGCATATATTTTAAACAGTGGTGGATAGATTGAACTATTAAGTAAGACAGTATGATTTCAATCATCTCTGGACTAGTAGTCAGTAGAGCTGGAGGATTAAAGTTCTGATCTCTAAATTCATTAGGGTTGTAGAAAATTGAGGACTGGACAGAAATTTTATTTTCATTTTGTATTTTTAAAGCATATTGAAATAGCTTCTTGAGCAGGAACTGTACAGAGAATGTTGTTGAATTTACAAGTACACTGAGAAGGTAACTTCCTTCTGAGGTTTTCTTCCAGCAAATATGAGTAAGTATTTCTAGAGATGAGCTAGAACTAAGATTTTTTTCCCTCCCAGTCTATGTCACTTGTCTTTGCAGCTAAGTTTTTTCTGGATTCTGATATTAGAAGAATTCACACTTAGGGTGAGGGTTTTAAATTTTCTGTATCACTTTTCAGAAGAGCATTGGAATCTAGTTTTACCAAAGAGACCTAGAAGAAGTCATGTTAATCCTTGAACTTTTTTACTGTACATCCAGATACTTTGATAACAGATTATAACAAAAATACAAGAAACTAGTGGTATTAATTGCTGTAGTTCTAAAACTGTACCAGGTATGACATATCAACAAGGACTTGCTTTTAGATTCCTTATTTTCTTTTATGATAAAATGATACAATACACAACTATATAAAAAATTAACTCTGCCAGTGGACATTGAAGTGGTTGACTGGTTTTTCCTACCCCCAAAACTGAGGTCAGAAGATGACTCAGTGAGCAAAAGCCCTTGCCATGAAAGTTTGTTGAGCCCCATTTGGTCCAGGTGGAGAGAGAGCGCCAACTCCACAGTGTTGCCCTTTGGCGAAGGCACGCATGCTGTGGGATATGCTCCTCTCCAACACTGATAATGCTGCTGATGAGAGAAGTCCTTCAACAGAACACCTTATGTCTAAGATGATAGTCATGGACGCTGTAATCAGCGCAATGAGGTCTCCACATTATTGTGTGAGTCTAGTGCTGCTTTCTTTGCTACCATATTTGAAAAAAAAAAGTTTCCATTACTCAGTTATGATTATCTAGGGCCTAGGTCATTGCTTTAGTTGAAAATATCTTTTATTCACTCTATGATATGAAAATTCTTGGCTTCTATCCAGTACTGATAGTTAAGTAGACTTCATAAAATATGAAATTTGGAATCTGGTATTATTTTTTATTTTATGCAGAATACTGTTACTATTAGGTTCTATTGAACGAATAAGAATTTTGTTTTTAGTGCTTCTTATGATGCTTTAACATTTGTTTATGTTGAGCTTCTGAGTATTTTTTTATTTTGTGTAAGATATAGATATAATTTGATCTTCTGATTCCTTTTTTCTAAACATTTCCACCTAATGATTTAGTTTTAGGTTATTGCTTCATAATGAAACTCAGAATTTGTTTAACTGAATTGTTCACTAGTGATAAATAACTATATAATATTCTACATTTTGAATTTTAACTATTTTTTAAAACCTGGTTATAATTTAATTGAATTATTTATTGAGTCATTCTTATGACTTGGGATGAAATTCATGCCTTTGTTCCTTAAATATACTGACCTGAAGGAAAGCAAAAATGCCTTCTTTACAACCTATATACTTAAAGATTGAAGTTGCCAACTTCAGTTTAATGATGAGGAGGGATATGTACAGTGGACATGTATAGTGAGCACTATAAGAAGGCCAAGTTTTGATTTCCCCACAAAGAAAAAAGAAATTATTTTGCTAGATTATTTAGTTTTCTTTAAGAGCTAGGATAAAAATCTAAAGCTAAGGCCCTTTTTATGTTTTTGCACATGTGTGTTTATAGGTGAAGCAGTAGTGTTTTTATTATACAGTTACATGGTTTTGAGTTTGAGACTTCGAGCTGAGCTGAGGCTCAGCCTAAACAGTCAGTTACTAAGTGCTATTATTTGGTAGAAAAACACTGTTGTTTTAGTAATTTTAGAGGGACGGTGGTGAATAGGAATAGGAACCAAAACAGATTGATTTATCATTTTTGTTTCATCATATTTTGGTATACTCTTTTTGTTTGTTTTGCATTATAGATACTAAACCTGATTTGAATTATTTTTTTCTTGCATATATAATCAGGTCATTCAGGTCACTATCTTAAGTCTTAGTCTTTTGGTATCTTATGGTCAAATACTAACATTTTAAACTGTTTTATATTACCAAACTTATTTAAACTGAAGCTTCAGTAAACAAAACAGTTTTTGTTTTTATTAGAATAGGCAAATGATGTTTTCATAGAAATTGGTGCTTTGGGGATTGTATGTGGTCTTACTATAATACTGTAATGTTTCAATGTAGAATTGTTCCATATCTGTTAATTCTGTGCACTTGGTCTTTTAGATCTTGTTTGTATGGTTTCCTGTAAGGTGGAATTGACCCCTCAACATCAAATGCTGACTGGTTTGCGTCGTAGGTGTATAACACGCCAGTTCTTTTTCAGTGTTGCTCCCATCAAGATTGGTTTTACAGATCAACCCCAGAGAAGAGAAATACTTATAGATAGGCAGTTTGGTTATTTTCAGTTTCTACTGATCATTTCACAGGTTTTTAGTTTTCCATATATTTTCTGAAATATAATTTTGACTGGAGACTGTGACATATTTTATAGTTATTGAGACACATGGTATTTCTTTGAATTCATGTATTATAGGTGTTTTTAGCTTTTTATACAAACCTAGAATTTTAAAATTGGCTTTGACTTGGTAAAGTTTTTTTTTTTAATTTTATTTTTATTGAGAAAAGGGGAAAAAAAAGTTTCCGCCTCCTCCCAGCCTCCCATTTTCCTCCCCCCCC